ACTAAACTATCGGCCGATAAAAAATCAACGGTGTGCGCCTACTCTCTTAAACTAACTACTGAGAACCTCTGTCCTGAGGTGACAGCTTTGATAGGAAATTGTAGAGAGCCTACTGTCTGATTCTATATTATTCCACCTATAGGATTATTAATTCTAAATATTGAGACTATTTAGATATTATAATAAGAGAAAAGATTTGACTGTTTGTTTATAATGGTTCTGGAACTACTGGAACGATTGATCCTACAATATACAGTACGACGAAGTTTGCCTTGTGTTTTACAAATAAATAATCCAGCGTTCAGAAAATAACCTTTTAAAACAGTTCGCTGCTTTAAAAGCATGAACCCACCGCGAAAGCATTTTAATCTTTTATTTATTAAGTACTTTTTAGCCGTCGCCTTATCTCCTGTCAGTGACAACGTAGCGCTGAAAGAAAGCGCCGAATGCAATCTCCACATTTCAAGCATTAGCTTTGAAAGCGTCCATTAGGTGTTTTCATAGACAAACTAGAGCCATAGAGTTAGCAAGCTGAAGGGGCAACCCACCACCACCCATGGCCATACCAACCTTGCGGTTATACTGGCCGAATCGCGGGAGGTGTGCGCGGAATTGCGGCTGCCTAGGGCAGATTGCACTCCACCGCAGAGCAATGCACAAACTGAAGGGGCAATGGGCATATATGTGTACGGGCATAAAATGGCACATAGTACGCAGAACTGACGGCCGATGGGGCAGCAAGGTTCTGGAGTGGACGCCACGTACTGGAAAGCGCAGTATAGGACGTCCACCCACAAGGTGGACAACCTCGTAAAGGTAGCAGGAAGGCGCTGGATGCAGGCCGCTACCAAACGGCCATTGTGGAAATCATTGGGGGAGGCCTGTGTTCAGCTGTGGACGTCCTAGGGCTGAAATGGTGATGATGATGAAGATGAGATAGAGTATGACAGTCTTCCAACAGGGAGAGATAGCGGGAGATCGTGTGGAGAACTGTATCCGCCTCTACAACCGACGTGAACGCTACGCGTAACCCAGGACCGCTCTGCTAATAGTGAAGCGACTAAGAAGAAGTAGGTACTAGCCAAAGTTTAAAGACAGCAAATAAAATTAGGACTTGGCGAAGTTCTCAGGATGTTTGCCATTAGTGGAAAGTGTGGAAACACATATGAAATCTTTATGAGAAAATAAACCTATCCTATTTCATATAAATGAAGACTGGGAATACGAGAAAAAAGTTTAAGTCTGAAGTGTTGTTGGTCTCGGTTTAGAAAAGTAGCTCTAGGGCAGACTTCGCTATAGATCCATCCCTAAAATACGCGATTTTGTCCATTAGAGTATATTTTAAGGGCGTAGCACATTTATCAACCCGGAAAGGGATCGTAACGTAACCGTATCAACTCGAAGCAGTCAGTATTCTTTGTATGAAACTCTACACGCACATTTATCCACACCGTAACGTAAACGCCTCGCCTCGCGGTTGACAGCGTGTGAAAGGCGTTGACAGCTCGCGAAAAGCGATAAGGTGTTGGTCCCTTTCCGAGTTGATAAGTCTTTAGATGTTTTTTGATACTGTCTTGTAAAAATTTACCACACGGAGTCTATACCTTAGTGGTCTGTATTCGATTCCATCGAATGTTTTCGCGGGAAACCTTAAAAACACATCAATTCTGGCGCAAAGACCCAGTTTAGATTCGATTCTGATAAAATTAGTTTCGCTAGAGTTGCTAGTTTGACAGTTATAAAATGTTTGTGGCTTTCCAGAAAGTTTCCAAATGAATTTTAATTTTGGAGAGAATATTTCCGAGAACGTAAAAAAACAAACCTCAATTTACTTCGGAGCCAATATTGGCTTTACTATTATTGGTTCGAGCCAATAACATAGAAGTAATATAATCCGTGTAGTTTTTGGCAATTTTGTTACATTACGTATTATGTATCTCAAGTATGTATCTTTGTTGGCCGATAGTTGGGTACCTAGGGCTGTTAATCAGTAAATGGAGATGTATGAAAGTGCGCACATTACACCAATTTGGTATCGGCCGATTCTTCATACAATTTAAAATCGGGCCCAACTATCGGCCAACTAAAAGTCAGTGGTCTGCCCGTAGGCAAATCAATCCTTTTTGTTTGATCATCTATGGAAAACACCCTGTATATTGCACCCTCTTCATTAATTTCCATTGTAAACGTAACCTAACATGATAGCGTCACCTTTATTCCAAATATTTGGAGCTGACCAGCAACACCGTGTCTCTCTAAAATATCTTCTAATCCCTATAAATAAAGTCTAAAGTCCGATATCAATATGACAATGACAGTTCTCGTGATATGTCACATAATTGAAATGGGTTCGGTAGGTTCATTTTCTCTAGAATAGTTTTCTAATGAGTTGCCCTAATAATATGATATGGTCTTAATAAATACCTTGCTTAAAGAAATAGAGTCTATTTTTCAACAAAAATGTGCTGACGTCACTGGACTGCCTAGATCAGTGGTTCTTAACCGGTGGTTCGCGGACCATTTGTGGTCCCTGGAGGAATTACAAGTGATCCACGAAGTGCACTTGCACACCTTGGTCAAAATCACATTTATCTTTCAAAGTGAGGTTACTGCTTTTATTTCTACTATGTATCAAAGGACGATTTTGCGCGCGTTTTGAATGTCAATTCAAAGTTCTATTGTCTATAAAAGCGATGCGCGTGAGCAATACAACAAGCGAAAGTGACCGAAAATGAAGGTGATTACACGTTTGTGATTTGTGGCTGTGTGAATTTAAAGTTATTTTTGGATGTGCTAGTTTTGGGACTACTGAGTTTGATTGGAATTGTGGCAATTTTGGGAAAATTTTTCATTTGTGTTTTTTTGCTTTGGAATTGGGGCTAAAATTGTGTTTTATTAATTTTAAGGGTTTCATCTACTTATTATTCACGATTTGGAAACTACGCATCTTTTAAAATATTCAGCTACCCATATTAAAATTTGGACTCTACATGTCTGAATTCGTGTGGGCTTAAAGTCGGATGAACTTTTATAATTCCAATTCAAATTGTTTATTTGCATACTTAAATAATTTATTCACATAATTTCAAATGAATGCCAAAACAAATTAACAATTTTCTATGCCCTTTTGGATCAAAATAATAATGTAGTTTCAACACAAATAACTTTGTAATGTAAGCCAGTGGACCTTTATTTATACTTTAACCAGGGTCAATTTACTAATGCCCAATGAAAATATCATTGGTTTTCAAACGTATGTACCGATGTGGGATACATAATATTATTATTTCCGCGGCTTGTCATAGCTTAAGGCCATCAAGGCAGTCTTTGTTAGACAATTAGGTAAATTTTGATGTCTGATAATACAATTGTTGACCCTGGTCTCTCCCCAGGAACTGTTGGCTGTGATACCTCTCCTGCTGAGCGCAGTGTGGGCGGAGGCGCCTGCTCCCTACCCTCCCAGCGGGTTCAGACCTGCTGGTCCGGCTTTTGAGCTCCCTCAAAAGGTTAGTATTATGGACATTGTCTCCCTTTCTGTTATCTAATCATCATCCATTTTGTGTAAGAAGTCACTGTGCTAATCAAAGTGTGCCAATCAAAGTGAGCCAGTCAAAGTGCGCCAGTCAAAAAGAGCCAGTCAAAGGGCGCCAGTCAAAGGGCGCCAGTCAAAGGGCGCCAGTCAAAGGGCGCCAGTCAAAGTGCACTCTAGTCAAAGTACGCCAGTCACACTCTATAGAAAAACACTGACTGAGCAAATAATTACCAAGTTTTATATCCACGTTAAAGAACTATCAAGATGTAATTCATTTTCTTTTAATTGAGTAAACCAATCAATTCACAGGCAGAATTTGATGTAGTTTTATAAACTGCGAAATAAGATTTCTATCTTCGAAATCATTAAATGCCAATGATTTATCGAAAAACCGACACCACATTTCATATTTACCAGACACAATTGAAAGATCTTGTCTTCCAGAACATCCAGAAACAACAGCAAGAGTACCTACCACCAGTGGAACCCCGAAGGCCCCAACCTCCCAGCACATCCTACGGCATCCCCGAAGAAGATGTCTCAGTCCAGGGTCTGCCTACCTTGGAACAGCAGCCAATCTTCCAGGTATCCCCGATCAATGGTCAGGAGTACGTTGGACAGAACTTCAACACCGATATTAGGAACTTAGACGACAGTTACAAGCAAGCGCAGGTCGGTTTCATGATTAAAACAACAACATTTTCTTTCCCTTGGCATTTACACTACCTAAATAAGTAAATGATAGTATTGAGCAGAAACTAGATGCAACAAGCCGAAGTTAGGGCAAAATGGCGTGTAGATGAGGCCTATGTCCAAAATGGGCTGGTATAAGTTGATAATGATGAAATAGATTATACAGCANGCCATAACAACAATGTTCACAGCATTATTGTGTTCCGGCAGTAAGAGGTAAGATAGCCAGTTCCTCCGTGGTTGAGGATTCCGGGTGAAGCTCGCTTCCACCTTCGGCCTGATCGTCACTTACCATCAGGTGAGATACAGGCCAAGAGCTTCCTCGTTGTGGATAAAAAAAAAAAAAAAAAAAAATGTACGGGACTATTCCCAACTCTCGTTCCCACCGCTGCAACCCCTGTGTAGCCAGGATCTACAGCTTGACCGCCAATAAAAACCCAACTCATGATTGAAACCGTTTGATTTGTCTTGACTTGCAATTTTCATACAATTTAAACTAAGCCTTCGTGTTCTACGTTTTAGAAGTCATATTTCATTCAAAGATTAAGATTGGGCACCTGCTTTAAAGTTTTGGCATGCAAGATAGTCTAGCATCAAACTGTGATATCTTCCCAATAGCAAAGCCGTTGGAAATTCCCACTAAGCACACGTCTTAAGTTGTATGGTCAGTTTGGTTACACAATAAATAAAGTTTTCCACTTGTTACCATTATATGAAAAACTGAAGATATTATCTTTGATGTAGGAACCTAATTAAAATAAATATTTATCTTTTTAGCAATCCGAAGATAATGGTTCCGTCGCAGTGGCTAACGCGTTTGCATCTGGCAGAAGAAAAAGTGCTAAATTGAGGTAAGAAAAAAATATTATGACCTAATTAAAAAAATATAACTTTGTGTGGGGTACTTATAGATACTGTAGTTAGTGTAATCTACCTAAAATCATAAGATTGTATTTACATACAGGCTGACTATTAATATTATTAAGATCGTCCTTAAATAGAATTTATTAGTCAATCAATTTATCAATTTTATTCAAAAGAACATGCAAAATAGGTCAAATTCATTTTTTTTTAATTCAAATTCATAACGTGTATTTGCTAAAAACACAGTAATACAGGGTGACAATATTAAAGTAGGATCATGCGTTTAATCTGCTCGCAGACGTGCAAAAGTTCAATATACCTATATAAATGTCAAATAATAATAATTAAGAAAATGTCAATGTATTCTTTATTATTATTTAGCACGTAAGATGCCGTAGTGTTTAGCTTTATTTTTTGTTTGTTCAATTAAAAAAGCCGGTCTTGAAAAATAATTTTTCCTCTCCAAACCAAGCTTTGAAAAACCGCAGTGCAAGCGAATAACGAATTTATTTTCGTTGCGGGAAAAAGCTAATATTTTACATCCGGAAAATTCCTTTGGGCGATTTAAATATTGAAGTAAGCTTCCAAGTTAGTGGGCAGAAGCTCGAAGCTCACACGCGGCCAAAAAGCTCTCTTCGATCGTTAACTTCTGTCTGTGTATACTGGTTGTGGAAGTAATTTTATAAACTTACTAGCTTTCCGTCCGTGGCTTCGCCCTGCGTTTTCCCGGAAATCATTCGATTATTTCTCGCCGTAAAAACCATCCTTGGATTTCAACGAGCATTTAAAAAAGAATTGGCAAAATTTTGGTCCCTGATAGACTCAATATTACTTACCTAACACCCTGTATATAAATGGAGGTTAGCAATCTAAAATTGCAGAATATTTTTCCGAAATATTTTTATCGATGTAATAGTGCAGCGGTTCCCGAATGGTGGTCCGCGGAACTCTGGGGTTCCGTGGAAAGGCCGCAAGGGTTCCGTAAAAAATATTATCCCACGTTTCGTGACCGACGTTGTTCGCTCGCACCGACTTGTTTACGCACAAGGGAGGGGCAGGGCGTTCGGGCGGATTAGTACGGGGGTTCCGCTAGGAAAAGTATAATAAATTAGGGTTCCTTGGCAAAAAAAAATTACCCTGTCATAGTGATGCAAGACTCATCGCAATTTCATCTAATTTCACAGAATAACAAGGAAATTGAATATTTTGATAATTTAGGTAGTCTGTTTATCAGTTTTTAACTAACAGTATAATATTTTCGTTTCAGGAGCCGTAGAGTTCGGCCTCTCTTTACATTGGACCGCTCTGGACACCTTGTACTAGCTCAAGAACAAAACTAAACTACACCTCGTTCTAGCCTAAGAACAATGGTAAAAGTCACAAATAATAATGAAATGAACTGAGTCTGATACTCTCTCTGCTATTATTATGTATTTAAAATAACGTATTTATTTATCTTATTAATGAGTGTTTTAAACTTCATTAAACTTCAGTTGCCTTATTTAACTTTTTTGTTTCGTTTCGGACCCAATTTCTTTACTTGCTTGCTTTCAATAACGTATTTATTAATTTATTGTTAAAGTCTGAAATATTATCTCAAAACGATGAAAATAAATATTACTTAAGAAAAACTGTGGTATGTCATTTCGTAATTCCTTAAAATTATCTTCTTCTATATACAATGTTACGGTCAAAGTGATAAATGTGAAAATTATGAATAATCGCCGGTTATTATGAATAATTACCGCATGATTTGGTAAATGTGATTAATATGAGGTCATTTATGTGTGTATAAAACTAAATAGGCGGCTTAGGGGTGGCCCTTGGGCGACCCCGCCGCACCTTAACCTATTTTTCACTTTAAATCCAAACATTAGCAAGAAACATTCCAAACTTATTATGCCAAATTATAAATATATGATATCAAAACGTTCAAAAGTTTGGCTGTACACGAGCACGTACATAAGATGTTGTTCTCTTTTATGAAATTTGTTAGTACTGTTTTAAATGTGATTAATTTATCACTTTTACCGCGACTGTCGGTAATTATTCATAATAACCGGTTATTATTAATAATTTTCAATTTATCACATTAACCGTATAACATTATATAAAAGAAAGTCGTGTTAGTTACACCACTTATAACTCAAGAACGGCTGAACCGATTTAGCTGAAAATTGTCAGGGAGGTAGTTTAGAGCCAGGAGAAGGACATAGGATACTTTTTATCCCGTTCGAAATAAAAAAAAAGTCTGCTTATTTATTGCCATTAAGGCGGAACAAAGTTCGCCGGGTCAGCTAGTTTATGATAAAATGAAATCCTTCATGGCGTAGGTCACATAAAGGACAATGACCAAAAATGTATGGAGTGTGGTCCAAATGTCCACCACTAACGAGACCTATGTAGTAAAATAGTCTGCTAAATACTGATTCATTATAACCAAACTGCAATCAAAAATATGCTGTCAGTAAAAAGTTATGAAGCAGCAAGGTTCTGGAATGGAGGCCACGTACCGGAAAACGCAGCGTGGGACGTCCACCCACAAGGTGGACCGATGACCTGATAAAGGTAGCGGGAAGGCGCTGGATGCAGGCCGCTACCAACCGTGCGATGTGGAAGTCATTGGGGGAGGCCTATGTTCAGCAGTGGACGTCCTGTGGCTGAAATGATGATGATGATGAAAAAGTTATGATTGAATGAAAAGTCTGTTTTTTACCTTTTCATCCGAAAAATGTTCTTGATATCATTCTATCCATTGCACATTTTGGACTAATCTACGCATATTATGTCATGTCGCATGTGGCGCGTGGTTATAGATGAATTTTATTAAATATTATACTAGCTGTGCCTACGACTTTGTACGCGTGAAAATAGTTTGAATAATATTTCCCATTTTTACAACATTTGTCTTTACTGCTCCGCCCCTATTGGTTGTAGGGTGATGTTATTTATCCTAAAACCATCCTTGATAAATGGGCTATCCATAACAAATATAATTTTTCAAATCGGACCAGTAGTTCCTGTGATTAGCGCGTAAACTACTACAATTTTTCAAACAGTCGTAACTTTTTACTGACAGTTTATTTTTTTTTCGTCCCATACTGAAAGTTAATCTCTATTTAATGGACTAAAAGCCCATATAGGTGAATTATGAGAGCAGCGCGGGAGGGGTGATTTTGATATTATCAGAGTAAATACAAATGAGGACTTCTTGGCGGGAATCTGAAGCGTCATGTTAGCGGTTTTGTTTTATTTCCTCAAATTCGTGTTTGGGCGACTATTAATGTGTAATAATGGTGGATTATTAACCATTAAGTGTTCGTGAACGTGCATGAGTGTGGGCAAGTAAAGCAAAACAGTGCATCGTGATTCTTCTGGTTCTGTCAAGTTGTCCATAGGAGGTCTCAGTAAAGCACCACAACTTTACTGAGACTCATGGGGTGGGAAGGGGTATCATCTATCATCCTTCATTAAATCATTACTTGATCTCATTTTGCAACTCGTAATCACATAAATACTTGAAAATGGCACAAATCAAGTCGACCTCGACGTGTATTGCCAACATCATCAAAAAGAAATACAAATGAGTAGGTCATCTTCATAGAAACGTATTTGTATTTCCTCTGATATTATCATCAGTTGACAGAGCCTAGAAATCTGATGTCTCACTGACATTTGACGTAAACAACACCCTCCTGCCCCCCTAGACAAAACGCACTTTTTGATCGAATCGAAAATCGAATCCGTCAAAACTCCATACAAAAAAGGGGCTTTTCGACCACTTTTCGACTGGTTTGCGATTAAAATTTGCACTTTGTCTAGACCCACTGTGCCGCTCCCATACCTCATGCACTAATTGAGTTACGTGCTAGACCTATAGTTTAATTTGTATCTAGCTCTACGAAACCTGTAGCTATTACACTACTAGTAGGGAACGAACAAGATAGGAATAAAAATAAAACAAATTACTTACAGTAAAAGTTCACCAAGGCTTCATTACCAAAAAAATAAGACCATAAAAACATAACAGAACGACAAAGAACGCGGGCACACTGGTTATCACCAACATGTTCTCTCTAACGAACGTCAGGGGACCAGAAAGAAACGACTTCACTCGATTAAAAGACTGCACTTCTTCTATCTCACTGGGGGTAGTTGTAGAAACGGTGACCGTATCACCTTTCATTCCTTCTACGACAGCGCTCTCAACGACAGGGGGTTTCAAAACTTCGAAATAGTCTCTAAAAATCTTAGGCCTTTTAATTTTTATAAACGACTTACTTGTAGTCCCAGGAATAGTCGTTTTCGGCCCTTCGACGCTTAGTTTCATCATGATATTATCTATGACTTGATTGCCAACCAAATCACATTGAAGGATTTCGTCCATTTCAGTTTTATTTTCTTCTTTACCAGATACTTCTACGTTCAATACCGTATCCCCTTTTTCTTTATCAACCTCGATTACATGAATTTCCTCTTTAGGTACTCGATTTGTATGCTCGAATGTCGTAAAAGACTTTCGCATTTCATTTATTATTTTTTCGGTCAGTGAGTTCTCCAGTCTTTTAACAGCAGAGTCTACAACCATGACTAGTCGATCCCAAAGCTCTGACATGTTTGATGGATAATTTCCAATTTCCCCGGAACAGTACTTATTGTCTACTTTATCATTGTCATTAATGATTGCTTTTATAGCAGACTCATTAGGTAGATCCAGGTTTTTTATTGCATTTAATTCAGGATCAGCATCAAAAGATTTCTTCAAAACATGTTTCGATGTTTCTTTTACGTTTTCTAAAGGTTGATCTCCCTTGAATTTAGGGTTCAGATATTTCCCAGTGTCTCCAGTTACAAATACGTTGTTTAAGTGATTAGTAAAATTAACAGCTGAGCTCGTTGATGCATTGATTTCGGGAAAAATTCCCATATTGATAACAGTATCCAGTAGACCCGGTCTGTTGATTAATTTTTCTTTATCAGATTTTTCAAAGAGTGGAAAATTAGGTCTTAAACTTTCAGCAAACATGAACGTCTCCGAATTCGGCGCTAAAGTTTCTTCAGAGCGCATACTTGAATCATCAGAGGAACCAACCACGTAAGTGTTTTCACTAGTTGCTATCGGTTTTAAGGTTCTATCGCTGTTTTGATTATTACCGTCTGAGTAAATATTCTCTGAAGTATCACTGGAAGCCGATTCTGATGTCAGCAAATGTGTCGCTTGTACCAATGTTTCCGTGCTCATCAAATCTTCGTTATACATTGAGCGATACGGTTCTGTTCTAGACGTTTTTATGACTAGATCTTTGCTCTTGGTTGGGTAAGAGGCAACTGCTACAGAAACATTGATGACTTCTGTTTTGTAAGGCAGTTTATTCTCAGAAGGTAATTTGATCACGGAGTTCACAGTATTGATGCTACCCATACCTTCGTTTCTTGAAGAAGACGTGCTTCCTTGTTGCCTCAAAGTGTCTTGGCTCGAGTAACTTATGAACGATTTCTTTGTGGTGGAAGGTGATGATTGTAGAGAACCGTTATTATTGTTTTCGTCATCAGACATGAGAATAGAGTCAGAAGTGTCAATAATATTCACCTTCGCAGGAACACTCTTCAAGAGTGAAGCTCGTGAAACTACTTTAGATACTGAATTCGAATAGAAAGTTTCCTTAATTTTAGCCGATCTTTTACAGACTTTCTCAGCTCTCTTCAGAGATTTCTTATACTTGAAATCTACATTTCTAATCCTGTATTGATTCTGGCGCTTTCTTTTCGATAATTTGCTGACGCATGTCTTTGGCTTTTTGATTGCCTCAAACTCATCATCATTTTCGGATTTATTAGAATCTGTTTTGTGTACAGGTTTAACCAAATCAATTTTATTGTTAGGTTCAACTAAGTTCACTATACTATCTTTGTTATTGATGTCATTCTCCTCTTCGTTATCAACTATCAAATAGTCTTTTATTTCAGGGAGTTCATTTTGGACATCATCTTCATTTTTGTCGTTCGTATCTTCATCGATAATGATTTTAGTTTCGTTTTTGTGTTCTGAATAGACAGCGTCAACTAACTTTTGTGTCGAATTCTGATCTATGGTTATAGTTTTTGAAGACAAAGCCGGGGAAACAGAACCTGCACTACTTTGGAGGCTTCGTTTGTTACAAATCATTTGTTGGGCTGTAGCAATGTCATCATAGGTCTCATGGACAGCAAAAGCTACGATATACGAAGGCATTTGTTTGGGAAAACGTGTGGAAGATTTTGGCCTTTTGTTAGTCTTTTTTTGGTTTTCATCGAATGTATCTTTCATAGCATGCATTTTGGTTGCTTTACTTTCCTGAAATAGATAATTGTCTTGAATGACTGTTCTTTATTCAATAACTATGAGTAATTTGTGTATTAATACTAGGTCCTTATTAATATAAAATAAAATTTTGGTGCTGTGTGTGTAATATGCATATCCTAACGTTTGATTAAAACAAAATAATATAAATAAAAAGCAGAGAATTGAATTTAAACTTTTATTTCACAATAAATTAACAATTACAAACTACAAAACAATCAAAAACCAAAATCAGACAGTTTCAATAAGAAACGTGAAGTTGTTTGATTCTGAACAAGCGGAATCGGGTTCGGATCCACAGCAAATGATTTACCTTTACCTGTACCAGTACCTGTACCTGTACCCTTTGCTGCAGCATTAGATGCTGGTTTGAACACGTCTTTAAGTACATAATCATAAAACAAGTAAATAATAACAACTAATGGAATCCATAGAAGTATACAGTAAAGGCATCCCTCCCAAAAAGGCAAGCCACTTCGTTTCTTTACTGTGATAGTAGGTCTGTCGATATCTACGTATGCTGATGAACAATATTGATGGTTACATCCAGGATAGCTGTCCTGCGACAATTTCACAGGGATAAATATTTTATTCTCACTTTCTGACTGCTTGCAATATTTCAGTTTACATGGTGAACCTTTTGGGGAAACTGAATTCCTAGATGTTCTGCTAAGATTGTAAATAATTTTGTCATTTCTTCGACATTCATCACAGAAGAATGCCAATAATCTTTGCTTATTCGCTTCTGTTGTTAGTTGTAGGAGAGATTTTGACTTCTTTAGCTTTGGCTGATTCGCTACTTTCGGGTTCATTTGACCTGACGTCATGTCTGTTACTTTGAGGACCGATTCACTGTCTATAACATGATAAGACGAACTCTTCTTCTTTAGCCTATTTGCAAATTCTTCCAATCTCTTTGGTTCTTTGGATAATTTTATACCAGAAACTAGCTGACCTTTTGCTACTGTATTTGAAAATTGTATGCCTTTTGATACATTAGAAAGTTTTATTTCATTTGCGTTATCGAGAAACTTTTTAGAATCAGTATGGGTTGAATTATTAGTATGTTCTTTCGGAGGTTTCTCTTCATTCTTTCTTTTTAGATGTTCGCTCACTATCATTTCGGCCGTCGCTGATAAATCTCTAATAGCAACTTTTAGTTCATTGAGTTCTTTAGATACCTCCAAACCAGTCATTGTTGTACCATGATCAACACTCTCAGCGTATTTTATTGTATCTTCAGATTTACTAGTAGAATTGTCACTTTTGAAGATATATTTTTCTTGACTAGCAGCGCCATCAAGTAAAGGTATAATTTCAGGACTAATATCGGTTTCTTTAATACTATGCTCTGATTTTTCTTCATATTCAATAGCGTTTTCTACTTTTTCAGTTTCCAAGTTACAAATAGTTGGATTTGTCATTTGAAGTTCGTTATCTTGAAACTCTTCATTACCGGCGTTAGATTTCTTTTCTTCAGGTTCGAAAAGCGGATAAACGTTACAATGAATTTCAAGTTTAATATTTCTATTTCCTTCATAGTTAGCAAAGTACTTGAATACATTTCGGAAATGATTCAATAATTCATTTTCTGATGTTAGATGTTTACTATTTATTTTTCTGTACAAGTATGTGAATTGTTTGTATTTTATATTTTCATACTTTACCCATGGTGTCATTTTGCGAAATACAAACTTTGATCGTCTCGAAATCTTTGAATTTATCTTATAACGTTTAGATTTAGCTGTTATATTGTCTGAATGTTTCGATGGTTTAGGAGCTGTGATGTTCGGAAATTCAAGACTATTGTTTATGTAATTTACATTTGAATGACTTTCATATCTCTTTTTCGTAATTTTAGGACCATTTACGTTTTGCTTACAACACTCATATTTAGCTTCATGAAATTGGACATTTGATACGCTATTGCCTACTTTTTCATTAGGTCGAGACATGTATGTATGTTCTGTCATGGTAAAATTGTCGTTTCTATTGTGCTGAGCGGTGATTTTATCTGTGCTTGTTACATTAGCGGGGTCATCAGCATAAATACTTTTGACAAGACTCGGCATTGTATCTAAATTAATTTCTTTCTTTCCCTCATTTTTGTTGCTATCTTCAACTTCAGTAGTTGACGTGTACTCTGTAGTGCTTTTGTAAATCATTTGCGGTACGAATACGACTCCTTTTCTTTTGCTTTGAGTTTTTTCGTGAGTCTTCGAACATCTGACTACACTCTTCTTAGATGTTGGCGAAGTATCGCAGCTGGATACGTTAATAACGACTTTCTTTTCTTTCTTGTTCTCAGACAGTAAAACATTCTTCTTTGGCGGCTTCTTAACTTTGTGAACCATATCTTTCCTTTTCATTTTCTCTTTTCTGTACAAATTCCTTGGGATGCTCAAAGTTGATATTATTCGCAAATGTTTGTACGGGAAGGGTATTGTAAATCGTGAGTATTTTCGAAAGAGTACGCTGCTACTTCTATGTGTTATCAGTGAAGTTTGCTTATGCTTACAATACTGGCAAGTGATGGAATTTGTTGCGGTTTTCTTGTTTCTCACTTTGTAGCCTTCGCCATTTCGTTCAACAATATACGTAGAGCACGAAGACCTAGTGCTGGATATCTTAGCTCCAAGAGAATGAAGTATCGAATCCAAAACGTCTATAAGCTTTTTCTTAGTTTCAGCATCTTCCAAAACATGTTTCCTAATCCAATCATTGAGCAAACTCTTCAAATTGTCAACCATCATTGCTGTTATGTCAATATTAGGGGGATTTATTTGATTGACAATTTCAAATTTGTTTCTACTGTCACCACAAGCGCTCGCGTCCGGCTTGAATTCATCGCCCGTGTCCATTTCTGTATCAGCCACAGTAGAACATTTAGATTTAGCGGTGGATGCTTGAACAGAGCACTTATCTTTCTTGTGTTTGCTCTTGTAATACCTCCTTAGTATACAGAATCCTGTTTCCACGCTCAAATCCCTCTTAACTTTATCTCCTTCTGTGTAATAGTCATTAGTTTTAGATAGCTTTTTCTTTATCTGCAAAACACCACTTCTGGCTACTTGAAAAGCATCAGAGCATGTCCTAGAATGAGTTTGGATTGTGATGTTGGATTTCTTGAACAAAACTTTAGTGTCTGTCTTGCTATTTTTGGTCCCATTGGCAGTTTGCTTGCCCATTCTGGTGTTCTGAATCTTCTAACTCCGATTCCGTGTCTTCTGTAATCAAAAATGTTATTCTCTATTCATCAGTTCAAATCTTGAGGTATTGAACACTTTATCACTGTGTTAAAAATAACGACTGCGGCACGGTAATACTATCTATACAGTATTCCAACTCGACCATATTTTTGAAATAAATGTCAACAGCCACGCGGAACGTCACGGTATGACAACATGCGATAGGGCTGCCTACTTAGAATTTCTATCTAGTTTTGTAAATGTATTTTGTGATTGTAATTTTTTATTTTATTTTGATAAAATACTTTGTGAATGAAATAGGATAAAAATGCATGTTGTTTTGTGATTAGTAGATTTAATTAAAAAAATATATTTGTGTTAAGATTTAGTAACAAATCTTATAAATTCGCGACCGTAAAATGTATGCGCCTCGACTGAGGCGTACAAAATGCTTAATTATTTATTATACAGGATGTTAGGTAATGGGTTTATAAGCCGACACTAGACCATGTTAACATGTGCATAATTATAAATGGTATGGTGTAGTCAGAAAATTGATATAATCATTTTAATAATTTTAATTTTCATACAAATCTTATTTTATAAATTTTATTTTGTATGAAAATAAAAAAAAATGATGATATGCACTGACTTCACCATAACATTTAATGTTAACATGGTCTAGTGTCGGCTTATAAACCCATTTACCTAACATCCTGTATAAATAAATGTACTTGTAATTATTTTTTATAAAAAAAAGAACGCTTACTGTTTAAAAAACAACACATCGTCCGTTTATTACTGTGGCACATTCGCGACACCCCCGACTTTTGCATGTCGAGCGCATACCGAGATTTGAATTTCGAAGGAAAGCTCGCGTTTCGTCCGTTTATATGAAGTTAAAATACTGTATGATATTATTACCGTGACTGCGGTATTTTTATCGGTAAACTTTATTTGGAATACGGTTTCGCGTTTTCGAATCCGAAAAACGAATGAATGCGGCGATTTTAATGGCTTTTTTGTGGTTTCTGTTCTATTGGCCAAATAAAACGGGCGATTTATTGGGTTTCTTTAATGGAAATGGTTATGAAATATTTTCATTTTTAACCCCTGTGTTAATATTGGCAAATCAAGAAGTGTTTTTGTTTTTCGTGGTATGTATAATTTGACATGATATAACTTTATCGCGCAAATTATTCCTATCAAATCTCAGTATTTAACGAAAGGGTAGTGATAAAATTCACATCGAGTTGGTAAGTAATAGGAGATAATAGGGTTTGCTACACTGGATACGTTCTGCGGTCAGTGGTTCTGCGGTCTGCCCTGACCGACAATGTTGTGGGCTGCGTTCACTTTGATCTGATCGTAGACCGCAGAATGAAACCAGTGTGACAAATTCTCATAAACTGTATCTTCGTGAATATGTGACTAATAAAGTAAAAATAAACTAGGTACTCACAAATTTGTGTTCCAATCAAGTCATTTTACAATAACAATTTAAAATTAACAATTTATTCGTAGCTTGCAAAAGTCATATCGAAATTTTTGTGAAAAATTTTGACAAGTTTTCATCTATTCTGTCATTTGACTTTTTTAAATGACGATGTTAGATTTACTATAGAGGATTTTAATGAAAGAAAAAGGAGGATTATAATCTACAGCTGAAAATATTTTAAATAATAAATAAATACAGTGCTCACAGTGCGCGTGAACGCACAGGGTCCCAAAAACTTATTCATAGACAATATTGAGAGGCGCAGTGACACATACGAACCAATCACAGAGCTCTATTCAACGCTGTGCGTTCGACTTCGTATAGCGTTGCTGCTTCACTTAATCAAGCATCGTTTGTGAATACGGCAATAGGTGCTTTACATTATGTTATTTATATCATCATCATCATTTCAGCCACAGGACGTCCACTGCTGTGTTATCTCCCTTGAGAATCAAATCTAGAACTTCCAAGTCGAGAGAGTCACTCAGGGCCGGACCGTGAGTTTAGCCCCCTAAACTGGCTTATTTATACTACTTAGGGGCCCACCTACTACACTATTTCGCATCATCGTCTATCTTTGACTTTGACTTGACATTAGCTGGGGGCCCTTGAATCCACGTATCAATAGTGACCGAGTTTCTTGCGCTGCTTCTTCTCAGCACTGGCCCATTTATTGTCCCGAAGCAGTGGTAGGGTTAATACTGGGACGTGTAAAAGTGCTTTTAAAAGCCTACTTGCATAAATCAATGAGTTTTATAAGTTTTTTACGCGGCCCTGGGCTGCAGCTCAAAAAGCCATATGGTAGATCCGGCCCTGGAGTAACTCTCTACACGGTGGCTCTACATGGGGGCATGACCATATTAAGATAGCAACAACGCTAGGTACTACTCGTTACCACAATTCATTTATTTTCCAACATACATCTTTCGCTGGAGATTTTTCTCTGGAATTTAATATGTGGCCAGCGAGCGGGTCCACGGAATATTTGTGTGGAACACTGGAATTTTCCATACTTGTTTTCTTATTGATTCCATTGTAAATTGAACGAGTAATTTGTGACCCTTGTCAGATTAAATGGTTTTCGTGATCGTGAATGTCATGACAATAGAATTAAAATGAGCTGTTGTGGCGAATAATAGACGAATACTTTATTTTCTAATTATTTAAAAATGATATCGTAGTTGAAGAAAGGTTAGTATGTAGGTACTCGTACTTATTTATTTATTGCCTGTTTAAGACAGCCAAAAAATTACTTTACTGGGCATTTTACGCTGTGCCATAAATAAGCAAAGTTGAAATGTTTCTTTACTTACCGCTTAGTGGTGGACGGTGGTATTAAAAGGCTGTTAGAGACGCAGAGGTCTGGTAAGAATCCCTGTGGAGGAAATTCGGCAATTAGAGATCTTTCTAACTGCTGGATTTTTTAGCCAGTTCCTCCGTGATTGAAGACGTCGGGTGAAGCTCGCTTCCACCCTCGGCCTGATTATCACTCTGACCAAGAACTATCCCCGTTAAAAACCTACGTAGGTAAGTACAAACAACTAGCTATAGATCTGTTGCATAAAATTTTCCTCTAAAACCAATTACTTTGTATGAAACAACGTATTAGATATTCTGCTGCAAATCCATACGTGTATCAACTAGCAATTTTATAAACACTTGTTCAGAAAATAGAGGGGGAAGTGGGGAGATGCTCTTAACCTAATTACTGGGATTTGTCTGCCATTTTATTTATGCCCTTTTCTATTATTGGATTGCCCATTCGATGCGATAGAGAGAAGCTATGTCTGTTTACATATTTAATATTGTCTTTTGAGAGGGAATAACAGAAAGAATTGCAGGGATTTGGCACGTATTTCACTATATTTTAATAGATTTACAAATTGCATGAAATCCTATCCAGCCTTCTATCCAACTTCGTATTTATATGCGTGGACTTTCATACTTTGTAAACCTCGTTTTACACCCAGTGTAGTTTCGTAAAATCTGTTTTTAGCGAAACACCCTATAAGGAATTAAGGAACCGACCTGCCAAATCAGAAGTTTGTAGGTGTTATATTTTCTGAGAAGTAATCCTTTCAGCTTCGGCCAAACCAACGCGTGCAGCTCGTGTGTCGGCGATATTATGGCGATCACTGCGCGTGCATAGATCGCCGCGACCAATGACGCGTTGATGTCATTGGTCGCGCCGATGATGTGAACTCATTGCTACAAATTCATACACGACCTCTGATTGCCATCGCCAGGCATTGACATGCTCGCAGGTTTCACGCGCTGATTTGGCTGAACCTTTACGACCGAAGCTAAGGGCAAGCACATTTTAAAATAATCATAATGTCGGTCCTCTTAGCATTTTATATACTGCTACACATATATCTAGTGGAGAATACATCAAAATGTCTTTTTTCCCTTCGCAATATATTTCGCTGGGACAGTAAAACTCGTAATATACGGCCGTCACCTGCCAGGGTGGTCATAAAAGAGAAGTGCGAGCATATACTAGGTATATACCACATATACATACTATGTTACAGTGTAGGGTGAAGGTAGGTGGGAAAATAACTGGCTAGGACGAATGAAAACCGTTCGTATTCGAACCGGGTTCGAATCCCACCGCCGCTCCACTATTGTGGTGAGCCCACTCGTAACACAAGCTTATTTAGCTTATCACGAGGGGCTAAAGGTATTATGAGTAATTTGTGAATACAAATTGCTAATAACCTTTAAAAAAACACTGAATTTGTCTTCACTGTAAGTAAATAAGTAAAACACCCAAAAACATGTTTTCTTTGTCCTGTAAACCTTGTGGTAAATACAGGGTGATTGGGATACTCGACCTGTTTGCTTACCATGAGTTTACGTTAGGTGTGCTCGCTAGCGACTGCGTAAAAAAATGTCATTTAAATGTATGACATATTGTGCAGCGCCCCTAGCGGCTACTTTCAAGAAATAAAATCTTCATAGAATTTTTTGACGTATTCGCTAGCGAGCTCACCTAACGTAAACTCATGGTAAGTACACTGTTCCTTGAAAGGGGTTATACTAGAGGTCATTACGAAAGTAAGGTCAGGTCAGAGGTCGAAACTGAATGGTTCGATTTATTTGAAAATTTTTAATTGTGATTAAACTAGGTACCTACTCCACCGTAAACATTGAATTGAAACTAAACTCTTCTGAAAGCTGAAAAACATTGTGATAATCTATCTATATAATAAAAATGAAACCCGTTTTCCGTTGTCACGACATAACATGAAAACGGCTTGACCGATTTGGCTGATTTTTTTTTGTAGTTTTCTAATACTCTGTACAAGGTTTTTACGGAAAAAAATATAAAGAAAATCTTTACGCTAAGGCGGTACGAAGTTCGCCGGGTCAGCTAGTTTAAAATAAAAGCGTTTGGCCAAATGTTACTTGTAGTAATAATCTCAGCAATAAAAAGTCTTAAGTAAAATGGATTTTTTATTTTCTGTAAGGTTCTTTTTATTTAATTTTTAATTTCACTGTGGTTTGAAAGGCTAAGTTTAAGGTATGTCTGTAAATAAACTTTCTAACTACTCTCATCTACAAAACATAGTTTTCTAGGTAGGCGCTGTTTGCCTATTTTCTACACGCCCTTGTAACAGCTGGAATAAGTTTTAACTCAAAAACAAGTCATACCTATCCTGAAAATAGGTTAACATCGTTTAAATTCCACCGCTCGCCACGTAAAACCCCAAAACTTTGAATTTTCCACGAAAACACGTAAAACGCATCCAAAAAATTGGGTTTAGATAGCAAAAAAACCACGTGGTTCGCCAATCCGGACGTGACCTGACAATGTACTGAAAACTGAAAAGCACTAATCCCACGTGAAAATGCCACTGAAATGTCAAGCGAGAGCCAACAACAAAAAGGGTTTAAAAACAAGATTGCGTTTTGTTTTTTAAACGCAGACGGGTTTGGTTAAATACATTGTGTGCTTTTGTTTTGATTTCAGTGCCTCTACCATGANAATTTGATTATTGATGAATAATAAAATAAATCCTACTAGCTCGATTGATGGTTTCATTTAATTTATTTAAACCAGGTTATCTTTAATAATATTTTTCGGTAATTTATGAAAATATCAAATTAGCCCGTAATCCTGAATCCTGATACATAAATTTAGCCTATTAATTTAACACATGTACGACTGTACTCAGTGTTGCACTATCAAATGCAATTGAAGCGCCTCTGTGCCAGGGTTTTTATGTTCCTGGTCAGGCTATAAGTTATTTGTATGAAACTTAATAAAAACTTTAGTCGCTATCGTATTCAATTAGATAGGTTTCTTACCTAACGATTTGAGATGAACTCATGGTAGTGTTTTTAGTTTTGCTGTGGTTCAGCTACTAACCGCTAGAGGCGCTGTACAATTTGCCATACATTTTTTTACGCCCTCGATAGCGAGATGCTCGGTAGTAAACTCATGGTAGAGGCACAGAAGGCTAGTATGATTTATCTATCATCATTTCAGCCACAGGACGTCCACTGCTGAACTTAGGCCTCCTCCAATGACTTCCACATCGCACGGTTGGTAGCGGCCTGCATCCAGCTCATTCCTGTTACCTTTACGATGTGGTCGGTCCACCTTGTGGGTGGACGTCTCACGGTGCATTTTCCGAAAAATAAATTACTTGATACTATTGCCGAGACCTCCCTTCCCACGTAAGATTTGGTGAGAATTTGCTAGAAGGTACATATTAGAGAATGTAGATTCTACATTCTCTCTACATTGTAGAGTTTCTCTATTTTTTAATAAAAATTGTATTTTTTTAAACGAGTGTAACCCATATCTAAGTGAAACTTATGAACTATCGGCGAAACCAATTCATTGGAAAGCTAAACAGATTCGATCGAGCCACAGTTTTCAATAATCGCGCGTTATGCAGACTAGTTCAACACTTTTGAGTCTACCCCAGTTTTACGTATATGAGTAAAGTTAGAACCTAATGTAGGGTGACCAAGGATTTTATTTTAGTAGGACAGAGTGAGACTTCCCACTTTTTACTGTGATTTCCCGCCGCTGAAAAATTGTCTGGGATC